AAAAAAAGCACCGAAATGTGCGCTGCTTTTCGGTCTGGTTACTACCGTTTATGACAGAACCGGTGCCCATCCCTATTCATGTTCTAATAACCAGTCACCCTATTTTAGCGTCCTCCTGTGGCCACTAGGAGAAGTGCAGCTAAGCAAACAGAAACTCTTGGTGTATTAAAAAATTCTGTAAACAGAAGAAGCATTGTGTTTCTGAAAACTGGATTTTCCTTTAAAAAATCTACGTTTTTGTTTTTTTACTTTGTTCCGCTTTTGTCATTAAAGGCATGTTTTAGCACCACCTAGTGGCCAACAACAGAACAAACCACAATGTAATTCAATTCCAGTCCTTTGTTGAGTTAAACTCTGTTGTAATGTTGGGTTGTGTTCAGTGGTTGAGAGGAGGCGGTCGAAACCTTAGCAGGATAGCAGGAAGAAAACATGATCACACTGGTACTGGGAATTCCACAGCGTATCCGTTAATGCACCTCCTCTTCATCAACCATACAAGGCCTGGTTGAACAGCTGCTGCTTATCAAACATGACACACAGTGTTCATACAGTAACGTTGCAAAGGTTTCTGGAGAGCAAGTGCTTTGTTCCCATAAATCACAGAGAGGGCAGTGGCGCACACTAATGACCTCATAACCCCTTGACTTATGTTACATTAAAGAGACACCACACCACTGTGACTGTTACAAACTGAATAATAGAGTATATAAAATAATTAAAATCATCTGACTTTGTTTACTTCCCAAACCGATTTAACAGTGCTGTGGTGTTTTAGTGGCCTCTGGTGGTGATTAGAGGAAGTGCAATTAAGCAAATGAACTTTCATTATATTAAATCTATAAACAGAAAAGAGTTTGTGATAAGTTTCTAAGAGATGAATTTAAAAAATTACTATAATGGGGGGGTTTGTTGTAATTTTTTCAAATGTAATTTTATTTTTGCATTTCACTACAAATAGTTTTGGGAACATCTAGTGGCCATGAGAGGAACCGTAATTAACCCCCGTAACAATATAATATGATTCTTTTTTGAAAAATAAAATAAAACTCACATAAAAGAATGAAAAGCATCTGAACACACTCGGTATGTTATAGCAGCCTCAGGTGGCCACTAGGGGAACTGCAACTAAGCAAACAGAAACCTTCGTATTTGTGAAACGTTTGGTAAAAGAACAAGAGGAGCTTGGAACTAATTTCTATTTTATTTTTTAAAGTACTACACTGTTTTGTGGAGAAAAATGTGAGTTTTTCATCTTTAATTTGCTAGTACAGGTGAGGTGTTTTAGTTACACCTAGTGACCAGTAGAGGAACTGCAAATAAGTAAGCTTTTGGGTTGAGCACAGCTTATAAACTTTGGTTGATGAGTAGTGTGAACGGAGCCTCTGATTCTTTGATTTAAACTTTAGTTTTACTCTGTGATTTAAATGAAAGTGTTCGTCTCCCTGCGGAGAACCGTGCCTTTGCTGAAATCCACCTCTGCTCGGTCTGACTGGCACACTGACCAGTTTGTGTGCCGGTGTACAGTTTTTACTCTGAATTGTACTTTTATACAGTTTGTGTGTTTTTCTGAGGATGAATGTGTGCATGCGGCATGTCAGGATCAGTTTGTGAAAACAAGACAAGCTAACGCGTCTGTTCACCGTTACTTTTGAGTGTTTGTAAGTAATGATGTCATACTGTGAGTGAAGAACTCTGCTTTACTTTTTGTTTAACAGGTTTTGAACATTTGAAGAGTTTTTGTGTTGCAGGTTGAATAAACTGAGCACTTCAAACACCTGGAAGCATCTTCTGGAAACGTCTAATTGATTCATTTTTCTGATATGAAGATTTGTTTAGGAAGCAAGAAAATAAAAATATATTGAGCTCCTGAATGTGCTAAAACTGAAATAATAAATTAAAACATATGAAATCTGGCAGGTGTTACAGAATGTTTCTACATTTTGAGAATAAACTAGGAATTCAATTCAGTTTTATTTATACAGCGCGAAATCACAACAACAGTCGCCTCAAGGTGCTTCATATTGTACAGTAGATCGTACAATAATAGACACAGAGAAAAACCCAACAATCATATGACC